TACAGAGCAGACTAAACCCTGGTTACTGAAAATTCCACAAAGACAGACTCTGTGTGCTGTATTAAATTAAATTAACCATATTTTTGCTTTCTTTGATGAGTAAACCCAGGTAATGATAGCTTGAGTGTGCCTCAGGATAGAAATCAAACTGTCTTGTGAATTGTAGAAGTAATTCAGACACTTCAGGTTAGTCCAGAATGAATGGGAAATAAATGTAAATGGTATTTATGAACTGTTGCTTTGTAGCAAAGCCTTCTCACTTCCTTTACACCTTATCTGGTTTGTGTTAGTTGAAATCAGCCTTAAAAGTGTCTGAATTTAAATATTGCGATTAAACTCCAGGATGTAAATTATGCAATTCCTTTTGGAGTTTGTATTATTTGTGAATTTGGAGAATTGAAACTCTGGCAAATAAGTGCTAATTTGCTTATCTTGGCTTTTTATTTCAGAAATTGGAGACATTGCTGGTGTAGCTGATGTTACAATAAGACAGTCATATAGGCTGATTTATCCACGCGCTCCAGACCTTTTCCCAGCAGATTTCAGATTTGACACCCCAGTGGACAAACTGCCCCAGCTGTGAAACTTCAAAGCCCTGCAAAATAATTTTTGACTTAGAAAAGCACTAAGCATATAATAAAAGCAGTCCTGTCGAGCCTTCAGTTGCAGGACTTGTGAAAGGAGATGGAAAAACTGATCGGATGAAATGGAGCACACATTCCAGATGTAAACAAAATAATTTTGTGGCATTTTTTTTTTTTATGTATATATTAGTGAATGTATTTAACAACCATTGCAGCAAATTTAAATTTCTATCCTGTGTATTTAGATTTCTTTCATAGAGATCTGGTAAAATGTATTTTGGAAAAATATTTCAAATCAGAATAAACTGTTTTCCAAAAACAGTACTGACCTGCAAGTTTACTGTATGTAACTTTGTCCTAAATAAATATTCAAGTGGAAAATGTAACCTTTCAAAGTTGTTCAGTTTTCTGAATTAAATGCTGTACATGGATTTTACATTGTCTCTTGATAACTATTAGTTAATTATAATGGGAAGTTTTAATTCAGAGAAAATATAGTTCATATAATAATAATTGTAGAAAATTTTCTATTCACCTTAGGAAAAGTTTAACCAGTTTATACTTTGATTCATTCTATTTAAAGTCCCATAAAACGAGTATGTCTCTTAATTACCTTGTGTGACTACTTGGAAAAACGATCTGACCACAATTAAGTTCATGGTCTCTGTCATAAGAGGCAGATTTTTCTATTGCTGAGTTTTGAATAGAAGTGGGACAATTATCGTTTCTCTCTTCACAAAGCCAGGAACATTTTTTTTTGATCGACGATGATGATAGTCTAGTTAAAAATAAGTGGACAATAAGTAGACTAAGGCATTGAAAATAGTTGAGTATCATTGTTGAACAGGAAGGAAACTGAATCCAAGGTTCTACTCCCTACATGTTTCTCTCCAACTTGATATTCCAGCAGCTCCCTGCTGCCATTACTGTTTTCTTTAGCAGAGCTGAAGGTTACAGAAAACAATAGAATGTGTGTGAGTTTGTGTGAAAAGTGTGTGTGTGGGGGGAGGGAGATCCATAGTCCCTCCAGGCCATTGAGATGAAACTGGGAAAATGTATACTTTAATGATTATGCAGCATTTAGGTGAATTAGAAATAGAATTTTTTTTGTGACTAGAAGCTCTTGTCCAAATAGAAAATCAGGTTCATTCCTTTAGTGGGGGATGTCATTTGCTGCTTCAACAGCCATAACGTGAAAGATCTGGCTCATGATAATTTAATTTTTTTTTTTTAAGTCTGCTTAGTACAAAACTTTACAATGTATATGAAAAATAAAATTAATCCTGGAGGCTCATATCTTTCTGTAAGTTCTTTGTTCATGAAAGTGGTTTGCATTCATACAATTTCATGGGTCTAAAATTTGGCATTATTTTGTTAAGGAACGTTACCAGAAGATGGTATTGTCCTGGCAAGTTCTCTCCTATTTTGTGTTAGTGTCTGAATGCCATCAAATGGCTGTGTCAGTCTTTGCTTGCAGTAGTCTGTACGGGCACAGAAATCCAACTTATTGCAATAAACCACCTTGAATGTAATTCACGAGGGCAGTTCTATCAAAATCTAATCAGACAGACTTTTCATATGTAAGTCCAGTAAATGAATTTTATCTAGGGCTTTTTAAAAACCACAATGATTAAAAATCATGTCTTAAGTAGTAATGGGTCCAAACCTTTAGGAAATAGGATTAACTTTAGACAAAAGATAAAGTAACCAAAAAGTTAAAACAACAACCAAGCTGGGCTTAAATCATTTTAGAATCTTGAGATAATTGAAATATTAATTGCTTAACAGCATGAAGATATACTTATTATGCAAAGCATAGATATTTTAATGTTGGGATTATGTGGGCAACCCTTTGCTTAGCAGAGATCAAAATTAAACCTCTTTCAACTTCTGCTTGAACATAATTAGTAAAAGATGTTTGATGTCTCTTATTTTTTCCTAATATCCAATCAGGATCTGCCTTATTTAAATTCACTTCTTTATCTGGTTTTCTGGAATGAATAGACCAAGGGCCAAGAGCCATTTGGATCTGTTTCCCACAGAAAAAACTGGGAACCAATAATTTAACAACAGGTGTGACTGGGTGGGCATGGCCAACTCGACATCACTCACTCCCACCCAGTCACCTCCTGCTCTGGAATATGGAGCAAGTCTCCATCACCCTTACCTTTTCTGACTAGGCGAGGAGTGACAGGGAGGGGAGGGACCAGTCAACAGGGAGCTGCAGCAGAAAGCTGAAAGAGCCGCATGTGGCTCCAGAGCCACAGGTTGCAGACCCCTGCAATAGACCCTGACTGGCTTCTCTGATGTTTTCAGGTATTTGAAGATTGCTATTGTATTTTCAGCCTTATTATCCTAACCCAGGGGTGTCAAACTCCCGTCATCACGTTGTCACATGATATATTGCAACTTTGGCGCCCTTTGCTAAAACGGGTAGGCGTGGTCAGTGCATGGGCCGCAAGTTTGACATCCCTGTTCTTAACCCAACATTTTCAGTTGTCAAAATTTCGTTCATAGGACTCAGGTTTCTAGTCTGTTGATCATCCTGACTTTAGTTGAACATGTTCTAATGTCTCAATCAAAGTGCAGCACCCAGAACTGGACATGTGCAGATTTTTCTTCGACTTCAGAATTTTCTTCTAGTTCCAGGATCTTTTTCTTAAGAATGATTACCAAGACAGGTATTCTCATTTTATGACTGTACACTTGATTTTTGTTTCCTAAGTGACAAACTCTGCATGCATTCAATTTAATTTTTGTTTTCAGTCCATTCATCTAGGTTGTTTTGATCTTTAACTATACCATAAAACTGTGTATCATACAACTTTGAGGTTTCCATTCCTCTCATATACTGGCATTAATGAGAAAATAAAGTGAGAAGGCTTCAACATTAACTTTTGTGCTATTCATTTGATACATCTCTCTAGTAAACCATTCTGAATATATCAAGCCAGCTTTGTACCTATATCATTGTCATATCTAACTAAAAATTAGCTTTCCGATCAGAATCTAATGGAATATTTTGTACAGAAATAAGGTATATTATGAATATAGATTTCTCATTAATTAAATTACAGTGGAACTTTGGGTCATGACTGTAATCTGTTCCAGGACTTTGGTTGCAACCCGATTTGGTCATGACCAGAAGCGAGACCGACTGTGCATATGCCTACTGTGCATGTGCGGAAGGGAAAACCTGTGCGGCTGTATTTGATTGGCACCAGAGGATCTGTTTGCAACCAGAAGCAACAATTTTCCCAAATTTTGGGTCATCACTCGATTTGGTCGCGAACAGAAACATTCATGACTTGAGATGCCACGGTACTTAAAAAAGTTACAAGGTTTGCTTGGCAATTTGTGTTAACAAATCCACGCTGATCTCAGTTAACTAGTAAATTAAGGGCTTCTCTCAATGAATGTTTTGGAAGGGCTCTAAGTGTATTTTACGCAATCATTTTGAATTGTTTCTCTCTTGGGTACAATGAGACAATGCATCAGAAAAGAATCATTTCATTTTGTACATGAGAAAGCAGCAGCTTTAAAAACTCCTTGTGAAAAAATAACAGATAGAGATAAAAGCTGAGATTTTAGGGCCAATTTTCAGCAACACTTTGTAACAACCCAAGTCCTCCCAAGCTTTCAATGCTGGCCTTAGGACCCCCTTCCAATCCCAATGAATTGTAATGTGTAATGTAAACGTGCTAAATATAAATGCAGTTTGGGCTTACTGGATTATGTGACTCTTAGCGGTGTGGTGACTTAGGCTATTGTAATTAGTATAAAACTGAGCTTAGTGTGAAGTTTAATTTCAGCCTGTGTGGGAGGGATACACATTCTGGTTGAAACCATATGCTGAAAATTATTAGTTTAGCTTCCAATTTACCCACTGAATACTGCACAGAAGTTTCAAAGAAAGAATCAGTTTCCCAAGTGAACCATTAAGGAATTTCCTAAGCAGCTCTATAAACTGTTTTGATTAGAAGACTGCACCTAAGGGAGGTTTCTTAATTGTTTAAAAAACAAAGCAGATATTTATCCACCCTGAAAGAAAAAGTAATACACACACAGTTCCAAAGACATCATTTATCTAACGATCAAACACAAGATTATAATCAAATCAGTATTTTTTTTCCTATACAAATTTCACGATTTAAATTTTGAGTGTTAATTGCAGAGAGTTTATAGTATTACTGTTAAAGGCACATTTCATTTAAATGCATAGTGTACCATTCTAAAATATCCTAATTTTTTTTACAAAGTGCTTCAGCAGCCACATATGTATAGCAAAATATATTTACAATCTAGAGTTTAAAACTTAATTTGCCTATTTTTCAAAAGTAGATAAAATTAGTGCTTTCATTCAGCTTAATTGAAAATACCCTGCCTCTAATGTGATTTTCATAAATTCAAGATTACAAACATTTCTGTACAATTTATACTTACAAAAAGTTTCTTCCATAGGATTTTAAATTTGAAGCACCTACCAGGGACCTAGCTGTTTATAGAAATAATAAGGAAGAAAAGGGGTTGGCAGATTGTACCTCAATATTTAGTGTTTTGCTTAATTAAGATGTAGCCATTTGAAATAAAAAAAACTAAATTAGTATACTGAAAAATGATAGTGCATTTTTTTAAAAAAACTGCAACTTAGTAATATTCATGATTTTTATAAAAAAATATCTATCTTCCTTATGAAGGAATTTACACATGTTATTCTGGCAACCTTCTTATTCCTTATATTCTTGTAAGTTTATAAAATATGATTAGAGTCCCCAGGTATCATAGTGAAACAAAATATTTTATGAATGGGGTGGTGGAATAGATTATGAAAAAAATACCCCACCTCCAAGCACCCCCACACAAACCCCATATTGGTATTACTCTACTTTCTTGCAAAATCTGCCCCGTATATGATTTATTGATGCTGAACCACATTCCAGATTGAATAGTAAGTCTACTAATTAAAAACTTTATGCTTATTCTTGATCTTCTGGTGTTAGGAAATGAAGTTGATCACAAACACATATGCTGACAAAGTGGAATGTTGCTTTCCACTGATTTAAACATGATTTTGTTCTTTCAGAATGTAACAAAAACTACTTTAAAGTCTGTAAAGCAAACACGCAGCATCTAGTCAAAGATTTTAACTTTTGAGGTACAGCATAGTGTTAAGAGACTTAAAATATACAAGTTTTATCAAAAATATTTATACATTCTCTTAAAACATATTGCTTTTACCCTTATTCTCAGTAATTTCCAATTACGATTATTGAATTCAGTGGCCATAAAAATGTATACAAGTGGATTTTCACCATTAAATCTGGATTTCAGTAATACATTCAAACAGCCACTGGACAAAACTAAAAGTGTACAGTTAATCTATATGATTTAAACAAAACATAGTTTCCAAATATACATGTATACTGGGTGTATACAATACACTTCTTCATTCGTTAAACATGAATGTTTTGAACATTGTGAACAGCAAATGTATGATGAATGAGATAACTAGATATACTGATTTGCTAGAATATGATTGAAGTTAATGTGGAAAATACACAACTTTAAAAATATAAACGTATTTAAGGGAAATCCATACATTTAGGAGTATTCCTGATTAAGACTAGAAAAACATTCATTACATTCTTCATATCTGCTGGTTATTTCTGAACAGTGTTTAACAAGATTTAAAGGCAAACACATTTGTTTAGCAAGTGACTTTGGTAAAACCTTTAGGACCAGTCTTTTTTTTCCTGCAAATGGAAGCACTGACACTGCTTTGACATAGGTAAGGTTTTGAAGCATATCCTCACTAATAAATACCGTAAGAGTTTGTTAAACAAGGCATTAGTTTGTAATACACATTATTTTGAGAAATCAAGTCACTAGTGTGCTAGACAGTCTTTGAGTTCTGCTATTTGGGGGGGACGTTCATTCTCCTTCTGAAAAGGACCGACAGCTTTTGTTTTCTTTCTTTAAAACTTGGGCAGGTGATCGGTCTAGCTTAGTTATCTGTTTGTGGTCCCACTTCGTAAAGTAGGTGTTTTGTGATGCTTTCTTCTCTGGAAGAATAAAGATACAAGTACAAGGGTGCCCGTGTGAATGTAGAAAACAGCCCGCACCCACCGAATCAGCTTCAAGAGCTGCACAAAATTGCTTTCCAGTGCTCAAGGTTAGAAAGTAACAAAAAAGGCTATACAAAAGAGAGGCCAGGCCTCCTCTGTATTAAAAACAGTACTGTTTAAAATCTTCATATGATTTAAAAATCAGAAGCTACAGGCAGCAGAGAGGGAGAGTGATCCGAAGAATGGTCTTCTTAGGGTGACTGGAGAAAGTTGTCCTGGGGAAAAAATCGGCTGGAATATTCACAGTGACTAAAAGATTAACACCAATCAGCAATGTAGTCGAAATCCCTGAACATATCCTGCTGATCTTCCAAAAGTATCCGAGGCTCCCGAGGTGGAGTGAGAATAGGCGCTTCTGAGGTAAATTCATCATCAAAATTGCTGACATCTTCTCTTCCTCTTATGACTGGGACGAAAGGGGGCTTCACTTTCTTGGCGAGCAACGCATTCCAGTCAATTAACTGTAAAAAAAAACACCAGTTAAGTGTTATGCTTCTGGCTATTGTTACATTGTAACCATGCTTGAGAGATGGCACTCACCCGAAAAAAGTGATGCTTTTTGACATCTTCAGCATCTTTTTCGCCGGCACCAAGGCGACGCTCTGGATTTCTCCTCAGAAGCTGAAAACAATGTCAGGAATGAAGTCAGGCCACTCTTTTCTACGTATATCATGATGCTATTCCAAACAAATCAAGTACAGAATCATAGTCTGGATAGAGATACTAAGTTTTAGACAAAGACAGGAAACAGAAGCTGTTTTCTCTGAATAGTAGTCAAACCAAGTTTTTTTTAAATTATCATTTCTTTTGTTTGTACATTTGAGGTTTACCAGAATAGTGAACTAGGCTTACCAAATTAGACAATTAGAAACATTGTCCTGAAGCTCCTTCAATTTATAAATACTGCTTAAGCAAGCTAAACAGAATAAGGCCAGCTAATTTGCTCATTAAGTTTTCCAGGTTCATTTGCCCTCATGCATTTAATTAGAAATCTAATTTTCTATTTTGTAAGCATTCAAGGCTTAGTCTTTAACCATCAGGAAGCCTCTGGTTGCATTTCTACTTGCATAATAGTACCTTCTCCAAAGTCCATTGATAAAGGGGAGGGGAATGTCCTAAGTTCTCAGTTGTATCATGCCAGCCATTAAATTAAAGGCACTTTAATTTCAGCACTTCTATTTAATGGCGCTGGGACAAGGGATGCTGTTATTAGTACCAGCAAAACATACTTTCATTTTACAATATCTATTTCAGAAATACAGTCTTACCCTTCTCATTATTGAGATAGCTTCTGTAGTCAGGAATCGAGGATATCTTACTTCATCATTTACAATACTGTCAAAAACTTCTTCTTCATCATCTCCTGGGAAAGGAGACTGGGAAAAAAAAAATTCTTAGGAATGGTAATGCAAAGCCATTTTTAAGGTATTAAAATAATACATGTAGCATCAAGCAAGTGTGTATCTGATCTCTCTCATTCTCTCTTGTCCCCAAACAACATTATTAAACCAAACTTAAAGTAAACCAATACTGAGAAGAGGATGAAACGTCAATCCCATTAAGGCATTCACTTGAGGAATGCTCAAATGGGGGAGACCAGGGCCAAACTTGCAGAATATCTGCCACCACCATGTGTTCGGATATAAGGAGAATTGTACTCTGAAAAGGACATTCTACATTTACAGAACAACGTGTTTATTAACCTCCATACTTTTTGTGAAGCTTACCTCACCAACCAGCATTTCATAGATAAGTACACCAAGACCCCACCAATCTACAGCTCTTGTATAAGATGTTTCTGTCAATACTTCTGGAGCAAGAAATTCTGGAGTGCCACAGAATGTACTTGTTCTGTCACCAAATCCCATTCCTGCAATGGTTACACAAATTACACAAAGATTTACATATGCACGCACGCACGCACACACATATATGTTGTACAGACTGAATCAAATTTGATTTATGTTGTCAATTCCATTTAAACACTCAAATCATTTTGATGTCTATATGTTTAATGAAGTCAATTTAATATTTCAATTCAAAGTGTTGAGTCGGGATTATACCTGGTTTTCAAATCTGCTTTTTTTTAAAGTGGCTAAATGCATGTTTTTAATTCAGTTGGTAAAATGGTATTTATAAATATGCAGTCATACAAGTTCTTCATATAAAATCACTGAACTAGTTTCCCATTGTACCCCAAGTATTTTTTATTGTCCCCTTGCAGTGCAAGAATCCTAAATAAACAAAGAGTTCAAGTGGCAATTGGGGCTGCTTGTAGTTCTGACAATAAGATGCCGTTTTGGTTGGTTCTGAATTATTAAGACAATTTGAACCCAAATCTGAATTCAAAAATATAACTAAACTTCCTTTGAATTTAACATCTGAACCAATAGTTTACAAAGAGATTTTTAAATAACGTATTTGAATTGTGCCTTGTTTTTCCACCATCCCTATTGTAGGAATAAGATAACATTTGATACAGTAGAATGTTATAGACATACAAGTAACTTTGAAGAGGTACTGCTAAATTTAAGGGACTTCTATTTATAACTCCCAGTTTCCTGAATCATACTGAAAGCTGCTGAAACAGTGCTCTGAAGAATAGAGCAGAGGAAACTAGAGGACAAACAAAAAAGCCTCCACTTATGAGCAAGGCACATTTTTCTTAAGATTAAAGCTTTAATATTGCACAGCCGATGCCCCTATTCATAAAGCCTTTCTATGGACACTACTTTTCCTGCTATGGAGATTGTAGCTTGCTCATATTAACGTAGCAATTACCACATCAAGGACACATAAAGTGAGGTATAGGATTTTATAAAACATCTTCATTCTGCACATTTGCAGAGCACACCTATCATAAATACAGGTAATCCCCATTTTTAACAACACAACCACTTGTTCAGTGACCAAAGTTACGAAGGCACCGAATAAGGAGACTTACAACTGATCCTCCTAACTGCAGCTTTGGCAGAAGCCCATGTGATCGCCATTTGCTGCTTCACTGCTGGTTTCCAACAAGCTAACTCAAGGGGAAAGTCATCAGGAGATTGAAAATGTCAGTCACGTGACATCACACCGAACTGTCGCATGGTAGTCCCTTAACAGCAGCAACTGGCGCTGCTGCAATTGGTGTCATAAAACAATGGAGTCACATGACATCATGCTTTGTGGCTGCATCACTTAGCAACAGAGTTCCTGGCCTGAATTACTGTAACACATTCCTTTCTTAATCATTCTCCTGCTGGTGGGAAAAGTTGCTGTCTGCAATCACCACAACATGTTCAGCAGAAGTAAGTATTATCAGCCATTTAAAAACAAAACAAAACTTACCTTCCTTGCAGAGACCAAAGTCAGCTATTTTAACAAAGCCTTCAGTATCCAGCAACAGATTATCCAGCTTTAGATCTCTACGAAAGAAATAATTTTTTTTAAAAAAAGTAAAACAACTAAAGCAACAACCCAACTATGTAATTGCTAAGCTATAGAGCTGCCTTCCCCAAGCTGGGTTCCATGACCTATGGAATGGAGAATTGCAAAATTCTCAGCAATAGCCACATTGACTATAATTAAAGTCTACACATTTGGAAGTTACCCAAGGCTATTTTAGAGAGAGTACCACTTGCAAATATTTACTAATTGTTAATGTTTCCTTTTTTCAATCTGAACAAAACATAACAATGGTCAAACATCCAATAGCATTCATTTCTTCTAGGAAAAAGGAACAATTTTATTAATTATAATGACAGCACCATTTAAGCCAGGTTCACAAACATAGCAGAACATAAAATGAAACAGAACACTACATTTTTGAAATACTTACCTGTAAACTATCCTGTGCTCATGTAAATATTGCAGACCAAGAACTACACATGCAGCATAAAATCTGTTTGGAGAGAAATAGAATGTTTCAGTACTCATCAATTTTGCACATTTATTTACACTATTGCAAAGAATAACATTTCAGACCCAAATCACAACATCCATGTGAGAGCAGAGCAGGAATCTCCCCCCCCCCCGACTCCTAGTGCTCAAAAGATGAAGGAGCAGCCATAAAATGGAGCAAATCTTCTATGCTTCAGGCTTCTTTGGAGAAGCCATCAATGTAGCCATCCTTCCAATCTCAGGAGATTCCCATGCAGGAAATGCTGCCTGTCAATTGGGGCACGCTTCCATTATACTTGCTGTGGGGAAATTTTGGACACAAAATTTGTGCTCCTGGTCCTATCCTGATTCTTATCTAAAGGAATTGCCTCCTTGCCTTCCAGGATCCCTTGGCAAACGATCCAGTAGAGTTCTGGCATTATGTTCTTGAGCTACAGTAAATATGATGGTGTGGCTGTTTTTACTTTTCCCAGAATTTCACCAGGACTGTGGCATAATAGTCTCCAGAAATCCCCACAAGAGCAATGCTTAATTCTCTGCAAGCTTTTTCAGCTAGTCAAGAGAGGCTTCTGACTTTGACAGAAGTAATGCTAGTTCCAATACTCTGCGGCCTGTATTTGGGGAGCAAATGCACTCAATATAAAAAGTAAAATTATATAATATGGACTGTAAAGTTCAAATGTAGGACTAATTTGCCTTTCTCCCCTTTTGGAGAAGTTGAAAAACACCCAGTTGCTGAGCATCAGGAAGCTATTTTAATATGATCTGAGGGCAAGGAGAAGATAATCCCTTTCATAGCAAGATGATTCTGTTATGTTCAAAGAAGTAGGAGGCTAACTTATCAGGGCTTGATACAAGCAACTTTTTAAAGCAAAAACATTTACATTCCCTGGAGTCATTTTGGTTCTTAAGCTCTTCTATGGGACTTTTTTTTAGTAATGTAGCTTGTTATATTTCTCAAGAAAATAAAAATTTCCTTCTTCTGTTAATAGAAGACCTAAAGAAAGATGGCCTGTCCTTTGTGGTCCTCGGGATTAAAACCTGGTAAATGAGGAAGCATCACAACAGATTCTTGCAATGGAATCTGGTACTTCTGCAGGTTATTGTCTTGCTATTTATTTTAATAATACTTTATTGTCATTGTATGTATATACATAGTATACGCATACAACAAAATTCAAACCTCTCTCTCTCTCCCCCCCCTCCCTCTCTCTCTTGCCTTTGAGTCAGTATTGACTCCTGGCAACTGTCTGGACAAGTCCCTGCAGTTTTATTGGCAAAAATTTCAGAAGTGATTTGCCATTGCCTGCTTCCAAAGCCTGAGAAAGCATGACTAGCCTAAGGTCACTCAGCTGGCTTTATGACTAAGTTAGGACTAGAATTCTATGTTATTAGGACACAACGTCCACTTGAAGAGCACTAAGAGACTACGGCTGGTTCCAAATGCAACAGTGTGAGCAGAAACGGGCGTCTCTTGGTGCGTCCATGTGTCACCACTTCTACGTGAGCTACACTGGTTGCCTTCTGAGTGCAATTCAAGGTGCTGCTAAATACCTATAAGGCCCTGGATGGCATAGGGCCTGAACATCTGAGAGACCATTTATCTCTTTTCTGCCCAACCAGTATTTCCAGCAGAATGGGTGTATTCCAGGTTCTCTTCATTAAATACTGACACTTCGTGGGGATCTAGGAAAGTATGCCTTTCTTCCCTCTTGCAGCCTCAGCCTCTGGAACAGAGATAAGGATGGTACCTTCTTTCCTAAGGTGGAAGTTTATTACTTGCTCAGGGGCCACTTTGTTTTGTGGCTTAATGTTATTAAGGCATGTAAGTCTGCACTACCTGTTGATTTAGTATCTTAGCTGTTTTATTAGTTTTGTATGCTGCTCAGTCCACTGGAGGTGGGCAGCCAATACATGTAAATAAATAAACAAACATAACTCTCAAAATACTGCTTAAAAAGCTTGTTGTGCAGTAGAGATGCTATGCTTCCATTTGTTTACAGATAGTGTACTCTAAATGTCCATATTTCAATATTCAACTGCAAAAAATAGAGCACTTGACTTAACTACCCAAGTTCCTTCTCTATACTGGATGGAGATTATTTTTACTTTCCTGTTGATGTTTTACCATGGAGAACGCCTAGTTTTTTTAATGATTTCTTCTCTTCTGTCATTCTTTTTCTCTTGAATTTCATTTGGAATATAAAATGTTTTTTTTTTAAATATCCAAGAAAAATATGGCAAAGAGTTCTCTTTCTCATTCTAGGGATTGTTACTAAACTTTCAGTCTTGCCAATCAGAGAATGTAGCAGGAGCCACCCAGATTTCAGGCCCCTTCTCTCAACTGAAGAAAAGGAACCTGCATTGTAAGTCTAATGTTCCACTTCACTTGTCATGAAAATTTAGGTTTTTAAAAGACTGCTCCGATGGGTGGATTTAAGGATTCTGGCAGAGGACAAAACAGATCCCACAAGCTTAAAATCTGCTGATTTCTAACCCTGTGCAGCAGCTATTTGTTTTTTAAGCTCTAGAAAACTGTCACCACCCAAAGGCAACTGTCAGCAGTTATTATTTTCCAGGAAGTAAGAAGTTCACTTTTGTTCAGGCTTAATGCCCCAAGAATCATGTTAACTTTGCCAGATAATACTGGCTAATCTAGTGGGTAGTCAAGTTGGTTAATTTAAAACAAAACCAAAACCAAAACCAAAACAAAAACAAAAGCAAAATACAACAGTAAAACACCTTGCACAATGGGAACTGTAGAGGACAATTTATTACAGGTAGAGTCCTGGAAGTAAAATTAATGATCAAAGTCCTAATTCATTTTACATTTACATTTACTTGGAATTATCTGATCAGACATAGCACTTGAAAGTTTATGACATTGGTTTGCTGTGTAACACCATGTCATTACACATACATGTCAATCTAACACGGATACATGTATTTATTTATTTTCAGGTGGTCCTCAACTTAAGATCACATTTGAATTCAAAATTTCTGTTGCTAAGCAAGACAGTTGTTAAGTAAACGTTGTGCCATTTTACAACCTTTCTTGCCAGAGTGGTTAAGTTGGTAATACAGTTGTTACACTGATTTTGCTTACCAGAGCATCCCAAAAAGGGATCACATGATTTGGGGATGGTGCGGCTGTCATAAATACCTGCCAATTGCCAAGCATTTGAATTTTGACCACGTCACCACTGGGATGCTACAATGGTCATGAGTGTTAAAAATGGTCGTCAGTTGCTTTTTTGAGTGCCATTGTTAACTTTGAACAGTCACTAAATGAACTGTTGTAAGTCGAGGAATATCTGTATTTAATTTCTACAGCTACCCAGCTCAGCAAACAGCTCTGGACAGCTCAAAATTCAAAATATATATTGCAAACGTTTTAAACCAATAAAAACAGTAAAACACATTAAACTAGTAAAAATATTAAAATACCTCACTC